ACCAACTGGCCTACCTAGGTCAGTTGGTACACACCCCCTGGACTGAATTGTTGAAAAACAGACCTGATCCACTGTTGGTACACACCCCCTGGACAGAAGCCGACTAGAACAATGCAATTGTGAACCACCCCTAGGGCCGGTCAGCTCGATAACGATATCTCAAGGCTGTTACCGTGAAAGGTAAAAAAAGGCAAAGAAAAGGGGGGGGGGGGGGGGGGGGAACCCTTTGACAGGAAAACCATCCCCGGGACATTCCATCAGCTTGATTTCCTTTTTTTTTTTCAATTTGGACCATTCCTCGATTTACGCGTGTCATCCTTGCGCAGGGGCCATGCTAATCTTCTGTATCGTTCCAATTTTAACGGATGTCCCGAAGGACCCATCAGCTTGATGTCTACTAGCAACTTTTTCTTTTTTTTCCAAATTTGGAAAGAACCCTCCCCCCTTCCTGGGATTATGCATTCACCGTGATCTCTGCTCACGACTCTTCTCTGTTTTCCAAATTTAGACCATTTCCCAATTTGTTCGTGTCATCCTCGACTCACTGCGCAAGGGCCGTGTTAATTAATCTTCTCTGTATTGTCCCAATCCCGACTCCCGACGCAAATCGCGCCAAAGTAGTCGCGACTCACTTTTTAACCCCTTCTTTGAGAAAACTACGGCGCAGTCAGGGTTTGAGTTTGAAAATGCACTTGAGGCAAAAGGGCCCGTAAAGGTGAATGTATATAACCTAGGTTTCGGGACAGGTGGGGTCTCATGGGGGTGTGCTGTGTTCGCGGGATTGCCTGAAGTGCAATTTCAAACTATTTTCGTGACTGCGCCGAAGTTATCCTTTTTTTTTTTTTTTTTAAAGGCTAGTTCTTAATTCTTTCACGCCGACTTTCTCACGACTTACGTATTTCATTACTTGATGATGTCACAAAACATTAGCGATGTGTGTGACAAATTAATTGTGTGACGAAACAGTAACTGATGTGTGTGACAAACGGCGGAGTGTGCCACTAAGCCATAACAAAAATATAGGAGGCAAATTCGCTTTTTTTTTCAAATCCAAAACATACCAAATCCGAAAAAAAAAAAGAATATTGTGAGGGCACAGGAGTCGGGGAGAGGGGGGGGTGGGGGGTAGGAAAGGCAATGCAATTACCTTGGGTTGAGGAGGGACGACGAGCCTTCTCCAGCCTCGCAAGGAACGAAACAAATTTTCGGACCAAAATAAAATAAAAATAAAGGCATGTCTAATAGATGATGCATTCTTTGGCAAAAGGTGAGGAGATACGAAAGTGGAATGGTCATTAAAAAAAGAAAAAAAATACAGAACAGTCTGAACAGGAGGACAAGCACTACAAAACAAGGTCTGGCTGCTCAGAACGCTCGCTGCCGTCATAACTAATCATAATCTTCATCCTCAGCACCATATAATCATAGAATAAGATCGCCAACGAAACACAAGGCCAAAAGAATATTAAAAATCTGATTGACAGCCCATTAAAAAGAAAAGGACAATTGTCAAACTTCGGAACACGGAGATGCTTCACAAATGAGTTATCCACGTGTTCGCATTCACAAACGTCTTTCGCTTCGTCTGCTAACCCTGTCGAAAGCCCCTTCCCCCCATCTCTCTCTCTCTCTCTCTCTCACACACACACACACACACACACACACACACACACAGAACAATCAACAATCAACAAATAATATTTGACAGAGCCAGCTTGAAGACGCGTATTGAACACAGAGCGAAAGGCGGGCGAATACCCCCCAAAGAAAAAAAAGGGGAGACACGTGGTCGGCGATTCATCAATCAACGTGAAGGAGAACCATCGACCAAGTACCTCCATCTCTCTTCCGGCGGCGCCCACACTGCGGGGCGCCCTAATTGGTTCGTGTTTCTACTGACAAGCGGGTTCTGCTGTGATTCGCTCAGAAGGAGAAACAGAGACTTTACTAAAGGAAAGAACTTTCCGAAGAAAAATCGAACACAACTTAACAAACTCGGCGAGAAAAAACGATCCCATGAGAAAAACGTTGGCCAGAAAAAAGTTGGGGTGAGAAAACGTTGCGAAAAAAGGATTAGGGGATCGATCAAGGCAAAGTGAACGGAAATTATGAAATTAAACAAAATGTGATTTAAAGATTTAAGAATCGAAAAGTTAAAAAAAACAAAAAGAGAGAGAGAGAGAGAGAAATGAACGACGTAGTAGATAAAGGAAGCAAGGGCAACAGTGTTTTTAAAAAAAAAAAAAAAAGGAAGAGAGGGTAACGGACGGATTAAGGAAAGGGGAAAAACAAAAAGAGGCGGAAATGGAATAGGAACCTGAAACAGATTTCCTAAGGATAAGCAGAGATTTATTTAAAAAAATATATATATTTTATTTAATTAATTTATTTATAGGTGTCTCCTACGCTCATGAAGGTAAGCGGAGATTTCGAATTTATTGAAATCTCCGCATTCCGAAAGCGAGACAGTAAGGAATTGGGAAAAACAGAAAAGAAAAGAAAAAAGCACTGAAAAAAAGAAAAACATTCCAAAATTTTGAGAAATATATTATATAAAGTGAAAGGAGAAGTTAAAAAAAAAAAAAAAAAAAAAAAAAAAAAAAAAACAAAAAAAAAAAAAAAAAAAAAAAAAAAAAAAAAAAAAAAAAAAAGTCCCGAAAAACATACAGGGCGGGAGAAAACAGAACAGACAGGAATTGAGACGGAATACAAAACGGAATTACGATGGAATATACTAATTTAGTTAAGATGAAATATAAAACGATATTTAAAATAATAAAGATTTAGTTTAGACGGAATATGAAGCAGAATGTAGGAATAAATCTAGAGTTCACACGGTATATAACAACACAGAGAATTCAGGATGAAATTTAGGTAAGAGGGAATATGAAACGGAATTAAAAGTAAATTTCAGAATGAAACTTCTGACAAAATTCCGAATGGCTAACAGAAAGATAAACCAGATACAGAGGAACGAGCAAAAGAAGGAGATAAATCTAGACAGGATTTCCAGAAAAAAGGATATATGCCAAAATCCTCAAGGAAAACCTAAGCTCAAGCACCTACGTATTTCTTTCCTAAAGAAGAAAAAGCACCTAAGGATTGGAAACAGGGCTAAACAGAAAACTAGAAGGGGGGGGGGGTTGATCTGAAGGGGAAAAAAAAGAAAGAAAAAAAACGAACAACGCTCTCAAGGTGACAAGAGGTTTTGGGGGATTTTGGACTCTCCCCCAAGTTCTCCTCTCGCCGGGGTCGGTCTTCCGCAGATACTTCGTCTAACAGCACCACACGTGAAGTACCTCTCTCTCTCTCTCTCTCTCTCTCTCTCTCTCTCTCTCTCTCTCTCTCTCTCTCTCTCTCTCTCTTCCCGGTTTGGTCGACCCGGTGCTGCTGCGCGCTAAACGGAGTTAGCGCACACACACACAGCCTTCTTCCCGGTTTGGTCGACCCGGTGCTGCTGCGCGCTAAACGGAGTTAGCGCACACACACGGAGCCTTCTTGCGACACGGGTACAGAAAAACTGAGGAATCAAGAACCAGCGATGCCAGCTGGCAGGTCTTGATTTACTGTAGAGTACTGTGCAGCATTGGGAAATTCTGATTAGTACTTGGATTGATTTGATTGCCGCGACCTTCACACACACGCAAGTCAACCCCATCCCATTCGATTCAAACCATAAGCACCAACTCCAGTAAATACGGTTTTATAATCACCAATCAACCAATCAATCAATCAATCAATCAATCAATCAATCGATCAGTCAATCGATCAATCGATCGATCGAGCAACCAATCAATGACTCGAATCAATCAACTAATTAATCAATCGACGGACCAATCATATGCAGAAAACACCACCAATCACGACTCGTCAATCCTGCGCAGGTTTAAGAAAGAGTTTTCGCGCCTGCTCGAGCGTGAGGAACATGACGACGTTCCACGACCCCAGCCGGCCGAAATTCGGAACGAACCCCTTATAAAAAGCCATGGGCCCCTCGTTCTTCAGCGTCTTGATAAAGCAATCAATGGGGCCCTTGTACACCCCCTTTGAGTCGCCCATGATTCGAGACTTAATCACGTCCGCCGGCGATCCGCAACACACGCCGAAGAACCCGGCCCCCAACCCTGCCAGCAAATGCGTGATGACGTCATCGTTAAACCCATCGATCTTGAGCAAGGTCTGCTTGACTTGGTCGTAGCTGGCCATCTCCGCGGCATTCACAATGGAATTCCGCGCTATGTTGGGCCCAAGACCCGTCCAGAGACCCGCCACCCCCTCCTGTCTGATAATCGTGCGATAAGCATCAATCGCGCCGGAGTACTTCCGCGGGACGCCAGGAGGGAGTTTCCCCTCTGCCTGGAGCCTCACCTTCACAAGATCTGTCGGCGATGCCACCGTGATCCCGATCGCTCCCGTCGTCAATGCAGCCGCCACCTTTTTCACCAAAGGCACGTCTCCCACGTGGTCCTTGCCTACATACAGCTGCTTCACGGGCTCGTAAAGGCCGATGCGAAGCCCGCCGAAGAGGCATTGTCGATGAAGACCGGGGACAAGACCTTTCCATAAGGAGGCGACCCCTTCCTCCTTAGCGATCGTCCTCATGGTACCAATCATCCCGCGGTACTTCGGAACCAAGATCTTCCCATCTGTGGTGGCCGGACTACCCTGAAGCTGAAGCCGGACCTTCGCCGTGTCGATCGGTAGCGTGCATAGCTCCGCCCAACACGTGGCAATCGCAGAGCTAGCGAAGGCTCCATACAACGGAAGCATCATCTTCTGAGCCACTGCCGCACCTCCACCACTACTACTCCCTCCTTTGCCACCTCCTCCTCCTCTTCCTCCTCCCTCCTCCCCCATGGTCGACCGGTCGCTTACCGACTAGATTCCCGACCTGCACTGCCCCCCCAGAGCCTTCCAGCGGGATTGACCGACAAGGAATATGACGTCCTCAATACCTCCGCGAGGAGGGCTCCTGAAGAGAATCCTGGTACCCTCCTATCCTTCCCTTGTGTTATGCAACTCCTCCCCCTCCTCCCCCTCCTACTAGTACTACTACTACTACTGCTACTACGGCAGCTGCTGCTCAAAATGCGCGTGCGTTATCCCCGTCATTACCCAAATAGATGGAAGAAGCGAAAAAAATGCGCGCGCACAAAATCCAAGCGATAGAGAAAAAAACAGCCCCGCCAGCGGTAGACACAACAACTACCGGTAGCATAGCCAATTCATTTCATCTGTAATCATGCCACGCGGCTGGTTTACATGCGAAGCTCAGAAGTCGTTCATCGTCGACTGATCATCACCCTCTCCTTCATTTTTTTTTCCCTAATCGACTTTTTGTCTTTTCCGGGGTGTTTTTTTTTTTTTTGGCCAAAGATTGCTTGGTCCTTATGGACTCATCATCACCTCTTTTTGTGCACCTAATTAATCACCTCTTTTTGTGCACCTAATTAATCACAAACGGAATGGCCGAGCGGCGGGCGCCGTTACCACCCGCTCCCGCGCGGGAGGAAGAGAAGACTGACAAAATATTGCGCGCTCCTCCCATACATTTGTGACGATATATATGTATATGTAATATGTAATAAGTATGTATTGTCGGCGCCACAATTTGCCCCCGCGAAATCGCCGCCACAAATTTTCTTTTCCGTTTTTCCTTCCTATGGGCGGGAGGGAGTTGGTAAGGCACGCAAGTAGCATTCAGGAGGTCTTGGGTTCAATCCCCATTGGCCTCATGCACCTTGCTGGGCAAGCTTGGCGCCCGCCACCTAGAGAGATGCCGTTGGTCCCCCCGAGTGGCATTGAGCAGAGACTGCTGCTGTTCATAGGGGGGGGGGGGACCACCACCTGAGGGGAGGCACAGTGACTGGCCCATAGAAGAAGCAAAGATCGGTCCTGATGCTACCGGCTGACCCCTGGCCGGTATCGCCCACCCGCTGTAGCAGGTATTAGCCCCTTTGGACCAAGACGACGGACCAATCTGAGGGTCTCGCCGCACGGCACACGAAACGAAAACGAAACCAGCGCATCTGGCCAACAAAGGTGGCAAAATACACTCGTTACCATTTATAGCAAACCGATGAACCTGGCCATTTTCTGTGGGACGATTCATTCGTTTCGTTTTTCGTTTCGTGTGCCGTGCGGCAACGCCCTGAGCCGTTACAACGAGTAGCGAGTAGGATCAAGGAAAGGAGACGAGACAAGACCTCTTTGAAAAACGAGAGACGGCCAGAAAGACCCGTACATCGGCGAGCGAAGGCAGAGAGAGACCTCAAGCACAGTCAGAAAGCACAGTCAGAAAGAACGACACCTCCACCGGTAATAACGGACTCGTATAGCTCAGTTGGTATGTCCCACGAACTGATAAAACGAAGACCCAGGTTCAAATCCTTCTGATAGACGAACACCCACGGCGCCGTCGAGGACGTCGCTTTACCACTCGTTACATGAAGAAGAAAAGACAGAAAATGGGCCTTGAGTCCACTACTCTCGACATTCACAAGAGCCAGAAATCATGGCGGTGCATTTTTCCATGTTCTACAGGGAGATTCACTCTTGTTCTGCATATTATGTCGACAGTAGTGGAGGGAGGCCGGTTGTCCGAAGGCCAAAAAAAAAGGCACAACAGTCTCCGTTTCACATGTGCGCGAGTAGGGCAGCGCGGGCCCGAGGTGCCAATATCCGTCAATCTAATCACGTGAGGACAGCTACGCAATGTAAGCATACAATACACAGTCAGTTCCGCGCGGTGAACGAGACAGTGAGGGGGGAAGGTCGAAAAGGCGCGCAGCCCACTCGTGGGGGGGAGAGGACTCGGTTCACCACGCCCCAAATGTGAGAAAGACAAAAAAGGTGTGAAGAGACGCTTTTGATGAGTAAGGTAGAGCCGGGCAAGAGATGCTTCCCTCCCCGCTTCTTCCTTGGTCACCGGCCCCGGATTGGCCGGACAGAATTGTCATCGTGGGTAGCTCTGCCCATGTCACTTCTAGATTCGAGAATTACAACGGCGCACCAGTTCTGTTTGGCCTGAATGTACGGGCCACTACGGTCATGAGCTTGGAGGAAAGTGCTCGCCGGAATGTGCTTCCAGGGCATAGGGCCTCGCTGCACTACTGTTGAAATGCACAAAAGACAAAACTCATGGCCGTGTATCTGTCCATATTCTAGCGGAAGATTCACTCTCGTTTTGCACATTTCGAGAGTAGTGCAGCGAGGCCCATATTCACAGTGGGACTTGGTGGACCCACTGCTTTGCGGCAATGCATTGGTGGACCCCACATTCATCCGCACTGAGAGGCCAAAACGCTCAGAAATGACATGGCACCCTGCCCTCCAGGTTCGGCCATCCTGAGGGGGTAGACCCGGGGGCACCTCCCACGGTTCGGCCAGCCCATGTGGAAAGGAGAGCCAGGGGTTGGGTGAGAACAGAGACAATGGGATGTGAAGTTTCTGTATAGGGAAAGTTTTCCCTATCGGGCAACCGGCACCAACGGACCCGCCAAAAAGTTGTGCTGCAGTTTCTGTTTCCCATCGCCCGGGCCTACAATTTGGGTTTGCCGGAAGCTTTCCAGACGCAAAGCTACTGCCGGGGCAGTGGGGTCCACCTCTTTTTCTACTTAGCTATGGACACAACTGCTGTCAGATTCATCCGCATCTGGCCGCAACATGAGTATGGGCCTCGCCGCACTAAGGGTGGGGACCCCACTGCTTGGTGGTGCTTGGCACCAGGAAAACATCCACCAGCCCAAAACTGTGGCAGGCGGGAATGGGTAAGCGAAAAGGGACTCCACCACAACAACAATTTCCGGCACTTGTTACCCAATCAGGAAGACTTGCCTTTCGGGCAAGTTTACATCCGCCTTTTCAGCAGACCAACCAATCCCCGTGCTTCCATTCCGCATGAGATGGTTGAATCCAGAGCGTGTGTTTGCCCAATCAATCCCCATGCTTCTTTTCTGCACGGGATGGCTGAATCTAGAGGGTGCATTTGCCGACCTCTAAAGGTCAGCAAACAATTCAACTATCCTGTGCGCAAAGGAAGCACGAGGATTGGTTGGTGTGATTGCCATAGTGGAACAAAAATGCTTGCATTTGCCTCCTGCAGTAAAGTCTCAAAAAATGTCTTCCACAGGCTTGGTGTCAGCCAGTGGGGTCCCACCCTAAGCCCAAGACGAAATGAAATGAAGGTCGGAGTCGCACGCGCACATGAAACCTACAATCTCGTTTTCCCCTCAACCGCCACACTACACAAATAAAGACATAAAGAACCCGTTCTTGTCCAACATACTTGCAGCACCCTTGGAAATCGCGAGGGTGAAAGCGGACACCCTTGGAAATCGCGAGGGTCCCGACCAATTTTCATTTTGTAACCGACTGTGTGTTCAGAGGAAACATAGAGAGTACGTGGGTGCACAATTTTGAAGCGCGTATGATTTTTCTTATTGATGTTACAGAATCGGGACAATTGCCGACAATTTTTTGCTTTCATTTAAATTATGACTAAATAATTTTTCTTTTGGTTGGTACGTTTGACGCCGATACGTGCATGAGTGCAGAGGCAACATCTATCAAGGTCGACATCAATGTTTGATTTCGATACCACGGCTTGGAGTTGTTATAGCTACATTATGATGATACTCAAATCATGTAGTACACAATACAAAGAGAGGCACCATGAGTTTTTCTATGCGCCATGTTGTCGAGGGATACCGCCACGACTTTCTTTGAAAAGACCGACTTCGGAAGGTGGCCGCTTGTGTGAGTCGGGAGATGTGGTGACATGATTTGGTATGATAGGTGGTGCGTGCAAGCTACGAGTAGAACGCGGTATTCGTGCGGCAAAGGTGTCGATTCTGACGGTCGGAAGCCCAACCAATAGGAAAAGGCGAGGCATTTGTGTGTTTCGGTGGGACCACGTGCTGCACGACACCCATTTATATGAATCTGCACGATCGTTAATGTCGGTCGTGGACCTAATACTATTGGTTACGGTGTTAAACTTTCATCTTGTAGATACGGGGATCGGGGCCAGCAGGTGGGAAGGAGCGGTGGAACAGTTCGAAGGAACCGAGGGGTTGAAGGTCTGGCGGGACTATCCCCTTTGGTTTTGTGCCGGTCCCGATTGTGGGCCTGATCGACGGGACCGAAGGGGTACTTGAGGTTCCTCCCCCTACCCTCTATTTTTCGAATTATTCGTTATTTATTTATTTATTTATTTATTTTATTATTATTATTATTATATATATATATATTTTCCTTTTGTGAGACCGGCCTCAGTACTAGGACCAAGGTATGTAGAAAGAGTAACTGGCCTATCTTATTGGTATCCCCACGAACTGTTGGAATACATACCTGAGTTTCAACTTTACAACAAACAAATGATTGGAATACTACAATTATGAGTTACCAAGGACCGCCCAACTCGATGTTGATACCTCAAGGTCGTTTGTTAACGACCTAGTCCCTTGGGACATCCGTTAAAATTGTGACAATACAAGGAAGATTACCATGGTCCTAGATTAAAAGTAGCATGTAGAAAGGTTGAAGCTGCTTGTCGGGTTGGCCTATGCGAGACACTCCTAGTTAGCCGTCGGGCCATAAGTCAAAGTGGTTTCATTACGCACAAGTTTTCAAAGTGGGAAAGGCGAGCCCCAACAAGTAGTGGTAGCGTAAGCAGTTGCAGATGAGAAGAAGCACGATGGAGAGGAGGAAAAGTGGCAGGACATTATAGTTATATATTTTTTTTTCTTCTTTTTTCGTTTCGCTTAGTCTTCCTCTTCGCCCCGCGACCGTCTTCATCACGTTATCACAATTGTCTTTGGAATGATACCCGTGTTCCTGAAGATTGGGCTGCTCATTCTAGTCGCCATCACCCATCCACGCACAACTGTTCGTGGTCGCGGTGAACTTTTTCCGATGTGATCATCACGTTCAGTTTGATCGTTGTGCCCGTCCTGATTGACTGCGTTAATAGTGGTCGATGTATCTAGGCACGAATACAAGAGGAAGTTGAGGAGGAAGACGAAAACGAAGATGAAACAAAGGTGAGTAAGGAAGAACCAGATGGATAGATAAATAGTAGAGAGAGAAAATAATACGTACCACCAGATACAGGCAATGCAGGATGAAACACAAACGAGTTGCGGTGTCAGGTTATACGCTAACGTGACATAGGAGTTGGAGATTAATCTACATATGTTATAACAGTAAATTCATTCTCATTTTGCACATTTGGTGAGTAGCGAAGCGAGGACATCACTGCTCGTCGTGTTTATTTTCATGGGCATCACCTCCAGCGTGGTAGTTTTCCTCTAAGAGTGATTCTCGTCCTAACGATAGTTTTCTTGATTTTTTTTCCATAGCGGTTGTCTCCGAACTCGAGTGGTGGCATCCGTGGATCGTGAGGGAGGAAGCAAACGCTCTTCCTTTTGAGCTTTGTCTCCTG